AGGACTGTGGTTATCGGGCACCAAAATACAGTTATCGAGGAGGAAAAGGCTCCAGTGTCCTACGGTGCTGGAGGATAAATATGGCTCACAACAGTTTATTCCAAAATAGCTACAAGAACTAATCAAAACACAGAAAGTATGTTTAAAATTTTTGGAAAAAGACTCTCCCTCGCCTCAAACACACTCACTCATCCACTGTCCTTGCCTCTTTCTGAAGCAGTTCTGGAAGTCTTCTTTCATGAGTGTCTTTAAGAGGTGTGATTAAAAAAAACCAAAAAACAAAACCAACTGAAAAACCAAAAGCCACAGTACATGTTGTTGCTGAGCACCATCCAGCAATGGCGGGCTCATCAAAACACGACGGTGTGAGCCGGGCGTAGTGGTGCACGCCTGTAATCCCAGCACTCGGGAGGCTGAGGCAGGAGGATCGCTGTGAGTTCCAGACCAGCCTGGGCTACATAGTGAGTTCCAGGTCAGTCTCAACTACACAGTGAGACCCTGTCTCAAAAGACAAAAAAACAAACAAACAAACAAGAAAAAACACATGATGGAGTGTGGTCATCCACTTGATTCATTGGCACTGGCTCCATTCAACTTTTGGTTCTTCCCCCAAATTCAAATAATCATGGAAAAAAATAATCATGGAAGGTAAATGTTTTGAATGGACTCAGGACATTTAGGCAGCCACAACAGTGCCAACTGAAGATGAAAAACAGGACTGTGGAACTGCTTCCCAAAGTGCGAGAACCATGGGACGGGTGTGTTCAGAGTGGGGGCGGATTTGGGGGTGATTGATCACAGTGTATCTTTTACTGTAATAAAGTTTAAAAATGTAAACATTCACTGTATTTTCTGATCTTATCCCATGGAGTCATGCAGAAGTCCGCCTAAAATTTAATGAAATTAAATCCATGGAGGGCATTTTGGTCAGGAGCAACCCTGGGACCCTGTAGGACAGACTTAGGGTTTGGGAACAGGCAGAATGAGAGGTGGAAGGAAAAGAAAAGAAAGCAAAGCAAAGGAATGGAATAGAAAGGAAAAAAGAAAAAGAAAAGAAAAATTCCCTCTCTCTGTAAGAAGAAAGTTCTGATGCTCCCATCTTAGGCCCAACTTTCAGCGAAAGACAACTATAACAGTTCTCATGAGTTCCTCTGAAGTAACGAGATGTATGTTATTAAAACACCTCTTGTGGTTGCTTGGAGGAGGAGACAGAGCCATCTTTTCTGGTGTGGGCCCTTGAGAGATGAACGCCGGCCATCACAGGAGAGGAGCCGGTGCACGGAAGATGGAGCGAGAACAAGCCTTTTTGCACATACCTGAGTAGAGCCGAACCAGCTTCACCCAGGATACAGCAAGGCAAGAAAGAAGAGGAAAAATACGATCAAACACAGGGAGATGGAAAAGGAATCTGAAAAGAGGAGCCCAGGTTTTTCCTTTAATTTCCAGGTTGAAATTTTATTCACTAAAAAAAGTTTTATTGCTAAATACAAGTGCCCCGACTGCATGAAGTTTGGTGAATACCCATGTAATCGTTCCCCAGGGTAACAGAGAGACTCTTTCCGGGCTCCCAGATCTCCCCAGGGCCCCCAGACCCAGCACCCTGGCTCCCGTGGCAGAATCTGTCCCCTTGATTCTCTTTTTTACTGCCTTGTCACTGGGCTGCCCTTCGGAGCACTAATGCTTGTGTTACCTGATTGCAATCTGTGGGTCTCCCCTCAACTTCTCCCTCTTTCCTCCTTACAATGTATTTGTTTATGCACTCATTTTTTTTTTTGGCTTTTGTACTCTTTGTTCTAAAATGAAATCAGTTAGTTGTAAATGCATATCTGATCTAGCAAGAGTAAAATGTTGCAATGATTAACAATTGCAAAATCTATTTCCTTTATGAAGACAAACAAGAAGAACTTTGAATAGCTGAGTAGCAAGATGGATAGATCATTCATACAAATATTAAGAGAGTGCATTTGCTTGATAATTTTAGGAAAATGCCTGGAAGCATCTTGCTTGGCGTGACTGCAGCCATCTTGAGATGTGGCTAAGCTGTTAGTCCCAGAGTAACCCTCTTTCTTTCCCCTCTTAGTTTCCCAGCATGCCTTAGCTACACACAGCTATTAGAGTGGCGAGCGGGGGCACTAACGCCAGGGATGTCCTGACTTCTTAGATTTTAGCTTGAGGTAAAACCAGGTACATTCTGGCTTGGATGAAGTCCCTTTTGTCGTGCCCGCTATATAAAGCCTTCCCTTTGACCCAGGTTGCAAGATCCCATGGTCTTGTTTCTGTCCATAGGTCCCCAGCAGACTGCACTTAGTGCAACCCTGGAACTGTGAGTGTCCTTGTTTGATCTTTCTGCACCTTTCTCCTAAGGAAATCAGCTATCCTACATTTTCCCAGACCAGTACTATAATTTTTGTTGATCATTTCTGTGTTGCTGAGTTTTGAACCCAGGGCTTTTGCACAGAGCTACATTCTCAGCCATCCTCTTCTTAAAACAAAAAAAATTGACAAAGAGTCTCACTAAACTGCTAAGTTGCCCAACTGGGACTCAAACTTGTGATCCTTCTGCCTCAGCCTCCCACAGTTCTGGAAATTATAGGCTGGAGCCAGGAAGACCAGCTTTTACATTGTTTGGTCTTATAAAATTTAAATAATGATAAAAAGAAGATTGATAGAGGTTCAATTCTATTATAAATACCATCTTTGTAGATAGTTTATTGCTTAAAGAAGTAGCATTTAATTCTTAAAAAAGCAGCATTCCTTACATGAAATAAAACCTTTTCAAGAATACTAATTCATTGTTTAGTGGTTTAATTCCATTTAGGCCATGGACTCTTCAAGTCAAATTCATATAGGAGAGTTCTCTATATCTCGGGAGGAATATATTAGAAACAAAATGTCAATTTTGTCACCAGTTTCAAAAGAAGAAAAAAGTTCAAAAATATCCTTACCAAACCTCCTTGAGCCAGGCATAATAAGAGGAAGAAGCCAGACATGGTGGCACAGACCTGTTCCCAACATTCTGGGAGGCTGACTCAGGAGGACTAAATCAGAAGGGTGGGTAATTTAGCAACTTAGCAAGACCGTGTCTCAAAATAATAATAATAACAATAATGATAATAATAATAATAATAATAATTATTATTATTATTCTCTTAAAAGCCTGGAATTGTAGCACAGTGTAAAGGCCCTGGGTTCAATTCCTGGCACTGCCAAAATGAGGGGGAAAAAATATATGCAAGTTATTCCAAACATGTTTTTGCTTTTGCTACTCATGCCTCAAAACAGCAGATTTTACAAGAGCGCTTTAGGGAGGCAATTCCTCTTAGTTTTGAGTCACTGGAGGCTAAAATTTAAACGAAAACTTGTAGAAATGATTGCTGTGGGCTGCCATCTGTTTTTAGATGTTGAAGATGAAGGCAGTAGGAAATCCTCCTGAGTCCTTAATCGTACGTACAGAGTTTCTTCGAGAAATTTATTATCAGAAACTTTTATCTGAATACTGTTCTACCCCACAGAGGGAGATTAGGACCCTCATCCAATGGGCTGGGAGAAGAGTTGTTATTAAGCACAGTGGGAATCTCGGAAAGGAAGCCAGGAGCAGTCTTGTGCGAGCAGGGCTGAGAATTCAGTATTTGTATCTAGAAAAAATATCAGCACTTGGAGTTTGAAAACTAATATTTATGATAATAAGATCATGGTAATTTTTCATAGGTAATGTTCCAAAGTCATTCTTCCCTCCCACAGTTGGTTGTCTGATGATGACAAGTGAGTCAGGTTCCTTTGGAGACCTCGGCTGGGCCATGGGAGGACCAGGCTGATTCCTGGCACTGAGGTCACATGGAAGCTGGGACCAGGAAGAAGGCTGACAAATTTCACAGCTGAGGAGGGCACAGAGCCAGGATCGGGGACAGGAAGTGACACTCCTGAGATGGCATGACTAGGCAGAGGCTGACCAAAGGCTGAGACTCCTCTCTGGGGGATGAGAACATGGGGTCCTTCTGCTATTTTTATGGCAGAATCTGTCCGGAAATGTGGACTTGCAGTCTTCAGACACTGGCATCAGCTCAGAAAGGACAGAGATGAGGTTCTTTACCATCACCCTTGGGGTTCAGAAACCAAATAGGCATGAAGTTCTGCTCCTCAGGAAGGCCTGGAGCAATTCTGGGACCGGAAGCTTTGGTTGGGAGATTGATTTTGATTAAAAGCTCTGAAGGAAATAAGGAAATATGACAGCAGCCTGGTGACCCACGACACCCCCTCTGCTATGGGGAATCAAGGTCCCTGGAGACCACCGGGGGTGCTCACAGTGCTTTCAGTGGTGACACACAAGTCACCATTTAGCACAAGCACTTGCACTCCAGGATCTAAGTGCTTTACATGGAACATTACAGTCCTTGTAATGAGCCCATGATCAAAGGACCATTGTCACCTCCACTCTACTGATCAGTACACAGAGGTACAAAGAGATCACCTAACTTGCCTAAGGACACACAGCTAGCAAGCAAAAGAACCGAGACTGGAGCTCAGGTGGGCAGGTTTCAGTGGTACTGGCATTGCTTCTCCTGTCGGCTGTTCCCAGAACTGTGTCAGGGAATGGCCGTCCCAGACTTACCCTGATGGTTGATTCTTCACTTCATACACTGTCTAGGCTGAGCTCCTCCCCAGTCCCCAGCACAGCAGAGGGTTCAGGCAGGAAGCAGGACCACCCAGGAGTGAAGACAGCCTGCAACCCTGCCAGGGGAAGTTAGGGAGGGCTGCCCAGTCTAGGCCCTGTCTGAGTGGAGATTGAAGCATGAGTAATCTGTAGACAGAGCAGGCCAGGTAGAAGGAACAATATTCTGTCTAGCGGAAGGAACAACATCCTCAAAGTAGTAAGGGCTAGAATAAAAAATTTGTTTTAGGGGACTGGGGATTTAGCTCAGTGGTTCCACCGCCTGCCTTGCAAGCGCAAGGACCTGAGTTCAATCCCCGGTACACACACACAGACACACACACACACACACACACACACACACACACACACACTCTGAGGTGGTTAGAAGAATAAAAAATTGTTGTCTTAGTGCTCACAATTCCGAGAAGCAGAGTGATGTCAGGAAAACGCATGTGTGTAGAAATAGGCTGTTTCCTCTTTCGGCTTCTCTGTTCCCTCTCGAGGGCGGCAGAAGCTCACAGCTGTCTGGAGAGCCCTGAAAATTGGGGCTGTTCTGACACAGAGGTAGGCCTAGGTGCAGGGCCAGGACTGGGGTCTTCCAGGAGAGGGCCATGGGGGATCTGGGGAGGTTAGAGCTGAGGAGCAAGGGCTGAGTCCCCCCAAGGATGGGAGGGGTGCCTGGCCCAGTTAAGCAGTCCTAAATTTAAGTGGGTGTGACCAGGTTGGAATCAGTGGGACCCCAGACAGTGGATTTGCATAGAGACAGAGAAAGATGGGAAAGCTTTGGTGGTGGATGAGCATGGAGGATAAAGCAGGATCGTTCTGCCAATGTCCCTCCTCCTCCTCCTCTTCCTCCTCCTTCCCTGCCACAGCCACAGACAGAGCTTACAGTTGGTCCTGTGGCAGTTGTCCCCGTGTGTGTGTGTGTGTGTGTGTGCAGATGTTGGGGGAACGTGTGCTGCTTATATCTTTTGTAGGTTTTAGGAATTTTGAGGAAGAGTAGGAAGAGCATCTGACGTGTCCTATAACATCACCAGAGACAGCAAGGAAACGAGAACCCAGGCTGGGCCTCCACCTGCCCTGGGACACAGGGAAGGGGCAGGAAGAGCCTCAGGCCTAGAGGGAGGGGCAGCAGAGTAGATGGCATCAGGGAGGTGTGGCCCAAAAGTGTTTGTGCATCCTGAGACACACAGAAGTCTCCCCTGTGGGAGAAAGACCCCCAAAACGTGAGGGAGCTCAGCGCCAAACATGGGGTACAAACTCCGAAGCAGAGACTGCAGGACAGTTTGTAGCAACCTCAAGGCAGGTGAGGAACCAGGGCCCAGTGAGGAGGTCAGCAGCAGGATCAGGAGCCCAGGTGCCCCCTGGCCCATCATGGCCTTCGTCCTGCCATATGGAGACAGGGGCACTGGGCCCCACCTGTCCTCTATCCATTTTCCCAGGTCCAAGGGAGGAATGGCTGCTGCCAGGTGAACAAGGAGCTGGTGATGTAGGACACCAACTACATCAGCCCGGCAGCGACACGAGACCTCAGAGCAATGAGGACACCCACCTGTCCATAACCAGCATCCAACGGGCGCCAACCTGCAGGTCCAGAGATCACCGGCAGATGGCGCTGCTCCCAGGCCCGCTCCTCGTGGCCTTGCTGGCTCTGTGCTGGGGACCCAGTGTGGAAGGGTCACAGGGTGAGTCTGAGGCTCTGTCCCCGTCCTCATCCCACGTCTCACTCCTGAACATGTCGGGGACACCCCCACTGCACCCTGGAAGCTTTTGGACACCCACACCTCTCCTTTCTTCCTATCTTGCTCCTTTCTGTCCTCTCCACCTGGTCACCTGGGCTCTCCTCTAAGGTCCACACACCCCTGTCACTCTCCCCTGGAGCCTGAGCGTCCCACTGAGGGAGGCCCTGTCTCTGCCTGCCCATCTCACTATGGCACTCAAGCAAGGCCCTGACTTCAGGTGGGTCCAGCCTCTTCTCTGCTCCCCACCCCCCTCCCCTCTTCTCCCGGGAGGCTCTGATTCCCTCTGGCAGCCTTGGCCTGGGGCTCTCTCTGAAGCAGCCCAGCCACCTCTGCTGCTAGGAGGCCCTCTGGGGGCTCCTGGGGCTCTGAGACAGAAGGAGCCCCCCCCAGTGCCCCCAGACTGGCTTCTGTCACGACCTCAGGAATGACAGCCCCTTTTCCAAGCCCGGATCAGGCAGGCAGAGGACGGAGAGAAGCCTGAGTGTGGACCTGGGTGGTACCTCTTTCTGGGGGGCACTGTGGGGTGCAGGGGTGGGGCTGTGCCTGACACTGGTCCCCTCCTGAGGGCACCCTGCCCTAGGCCAGCACACGGGGCCCTGTAACGTGCTGAGGGTAAGCTAGAAGCTGTGTTTCTGTGGGGAGAAGAGTCCTGGACAAGTCGTCTCCCCCCCCGCCCAGCCCCGCTCTGCCCAGGGCGTCTGCAGGAACCTGGTTCCCTCCCCAGGACTGGGCATCCTGGAGATGCTTGGGGGCAGTGGCAAGGGGCTGAAGGAGAGCGACCCTTCTGCGTGTCCCTGCAGGTACCGTCCCGCTGCAGACCCTGCGCTGCTACAATGACTACACCAGCCGCCTTGTGTGCAGCTGGGCAGACACCGAGGCTGCTGGGCTGCTGCTCATCAACGTGACCCCCCACTGGCGGTTAAAAGGGTGAGTGAAGAGGAAGAACCGAGGGAGGCAAACAAGGGCTGTGTCTCCAGGGTGCCTGGTTAGGGCTGAGGGGGCACAGGGGAGTGGCAGGGCCAGCACAGGTTGGGGCCGGAGGGGCCAGGAGTCCAGCTGGGTGCTTGCTGGGGGCTGATGCACCTCCCACCCC